TATATATATATATTCATAACTTTAATACAAGAGAAGTTTTAAATTTTAAGGTAATCTGAAGTTTAGAATATTTCTTTTACTATTTTTTTAAATACATTTTGTGAAAAATATGTTTTTTTTAGAGCTGTCAAAACAGGCTATCCAGCTCAGTCCGACCCGACATGACCCACCACGGGTTGGTTACTAGTGAGTCAATTCAACCCGATTCATTTATTATTGAGTCAAAAAAATTCAAATCCATCCCGACTCACCACGAATTAGTGGATAAACGGGTTAGCTCACTAGTTCACTTAATTATAATTCTTTTTAAATAAAACAAATTACAAACTTTCTATAATTCAAATTTAAACAAATTTCATTCCCAAATTTCACTATGAATATGGGTGTTTAATTAATTTTGAAAATAAAAAACTTAAATAATTTTTTCAAACAAAAAAAAATTAATATTTTTTATAAAATTAAAATTAAATTTTAATAAAATAAAATTAGATAGGTGGACTGGTGGGCCAATCCGACCCACCACGGATTTAATCCGCATGAACCGGATTTAAATAAATCAGGTTTTAACATAAAAAATACAATTTTTTCAAACTCAATCCAGCCTGAATCTTTTGTGAGTCGGATTGACCCGTACGTTGTAACCCATTTTCTGACTTCTTTTTTTCTTCATAAAGACCTTTTACTACAATAAATTGTTACTTTTATTAAGTTATTTGATATAATAAGTAATAAAAATCTGTGGTGAAAATCTCGTGTTATTTTTTTTCATTTCTAATAAACCTATATAGATATTTAGTAAACTAAACATATTTTTATTATGTAACCAAAGACTCTGCTTACCAATATCAAATTATCACAAATTATACATAAACATTCATACTTTTGAACTCTTTCTTACTGCTGCCCCCTTTAATTAGCCTCATTCAAATAGCCCCACTTTTAAATAATTCTTACTTTAAGTTGCTTAGTTTGCAAATTCCGATTATGAATGGGCTCTATCCAGAGAATAGGTTTATGCCCCTCTAGAGTAAGTGCTACCCTATCAAGGTGTAATAATCATATCATGTTCTTTTCAATATCTACAAACATCTGGGACTGATGATAAACAGCTTACACTTATAATTCCAAAAAACATGAAGAATATATCACAATTTTAATGAAAGAGTTATAGACATTCTTGGGTGTAACATTCCCTATTTATTTGAAGATAAGATTTTTCAAATTTAAATGGAAGACATGCAGTTCTCCCCGTTATAACACTTTTTAGTTAGTATGCATATTTCCAAGTTTCATCATTTAAAACTAAACTAGAACAACTTTTTTCCTTAGATATTTATAAAGTATTGGAACATCTTGCATTTATCCTCATTTGTCAAGAATGTGCAGGATCCCAAAAACTAAATACAGCGATTATATATACAAGCTCATCTTCCCCAAAAAGAATCTTCATCTGCTATTGACTAACAACTTGGTGGATCAAATCATAAAATGAAAAAAAAAAAAACCATANTTCTGTCATACATGAAAAACCGTAAAAATTAAATCATCCAGAAAGGTAAGGATCTATTTGATTCCTTTCCAACTTTTATTGTTTAAAAAATTGTTTTTTAAGTTCCAGATGGCACCTAAGTGTACCAGGATTTACGTCACTCCAGATTTGAGTCAGTCATTCTATTTGAAGCCAATACAACATCAATTTTTCACATTCAAATTCTCCATTCTTCAGCATCCCAAGTACATATACGATAGCACACATTGGATTTTTAAACATCACTCAAGAATATCATGAGAAGAAAACAGAGAGCTGTATTAACCAAGTAAAAGCAGATAACATTATAACCATAAAATCTGAGAAGAAACACGCATCTCAAACGTTAGCATAATAAAGCAATTCAGTTTGACCAGCCACATGAAAATGCTCATAGACCAACCATTCGGTCATTTTCAATTTTTATCTCATTGCCAAATTTGGACATATAGTAAGTAAACATAATTCTACATGCGGGATGGAACTTAGATGAAATTTCAAAATTCCAGATTGGGAGTGACTGTTTAGCATTGAGAAAATATATATGTTGTGACTTCTTAAATAGTTTTTACATTAAGATCCAACCGCAAATCATGTTATACTAAGTTCGTTGACTTAATAACTATCTTAACAGATCATACAAGCCACAGTGTCTAATACCTATCTTAACAGATTAAAATTGGAGGTGCATACAGATTTAAACTCTTCAGTATTTACTATTACTAGCACCATTGCACTACCATAATTTGAAAGAAAACCCGAACTTAATGAGAACCAGGTTATCCAGTGAGTCAAAACCATATCACAAGAGACTAACAGTTATGACTTACTTCACAGGACCGTCCCTTTCCCTCTTCCTTATCTTATCCATGTCATCATACGTAAATATCAAATTCTGCAAGCTAGCGGCTTTAATCCACTGATCCAAGTTTCTCTTCCCTATCAACCCAAACACTCTCTCCCTCATTGGACCCGGCGACTCCCTCGGATACCTCTGCAAGAAAAACTCAGCCAGCGCCAACTCAAGCACGTACTGTCCCAGAAAAGACAACCTCGAATGCCCCGACCGCACGTGCCGCGCCTTCGTTCTCTCACATGAAGGGTGCTGAAACGCCAAGTACAGCAACGTGTCGAACTGTTTCGCGGGGTTATCGTCCCCGAGCGTTTCCGAGGGCTCGAGAGTGTACCCCAGAGCCTGCTTCGCTTCGAGCAAGTACTCGTCAATCCACAACCTATCTGCATTGTTGAGCCGCGACGAGGGCAAGCACGAACTCAACAAAGGGAACGACTTGAGAGAGAGTTGCGGGCTGTTGAGAAACCTTTCAGCTAATTTGTTATCGTCTATTGGAGGCCTTAGAATGAACCTTCTTGGGGGTCCCTTCTTTGTGGAAGTTGCTTTCTTTCGTGCCGCGAGCTCCTTGAGAAGTCGCTGGGGACTGCTCTCGGGGGAGCCCTGTTGTGGCTCTACGGCCACCGCCAGAATTCGGAAAGGGGAGTTTCGGGATTTGGAGTTTCTGATGAAAAGGTGAATCGGGAATGGAGAGAGGGAGGAGGAGAAAGAGTAATTGCATGGTTTTGGGGAGAGTAAAAAAGAAGAAGAAAGTTCCATTATCGGAGAGTGACTGTGGTGGGAAATGTTGTTTGGAAAAGGTGGGTTGCGAACATTAAGGTGGTTAATTTCTGGGTTTGTGTACAACCTTTGTCACCATAGATGAGAGGGTTTAGGGGTTGGGATGGAGTCTTACAGTGTTGGATAAGGTGAAGCAGCAGCGTCGCGTCCCACACCCTTCGTTTAGCCGGATGCTTTCTTGGATATCTCAGATTTCAATTTTGTTTACATAGCCAAACGCTGCCGTATAGTATAGGGGCATGGATGGGCTTTTAATTTCTAAACGACACGTCGTTTATTATCAGAGTTGTGCATCAATGAAATTTTGATAAGGTGATTTTGTAAATTTAAGACAGACCTACAAAAGATAGATAATCACATTAGTTTTATCTGTTTACATACTATGTAACTAAATAATACAATTAAAAAACGTGCTGTAAGATTAAAAACTATTTTATATATAATAAATGATCTCAATATAAATATAATACTATTACATATTTTTGCTAACTTATTTTTGTTATTAATATATAACGATATAAAGCTATACTTTAGAATAATTGGTAGGATATTTTTTTTTCTGAGATTACACTACAATTAAAATAAATTTAAACCTAATTTTAACTCATATTTATTATACGTTGAGTCCAATTTCTTAAACTTTAAACTCCGCAAAAATATCCACACAAACTAAACTTTTATCTGTTTCTAATATTTTGTATTTTGAATTCCAAAGGATTATTTGGTGCAAGAACGAATTACATTATTAATTTTCCATTGCCAGTGGGCGAATAAATCACTTAGTACAAAAGTGAGTTTTAATATTTTTTTCATTTGATGTAAATAATGTTAGATGGTCACTTACACAAACTTAAAATCTCTATAGTGTAAAATTTTAAATATTTTAGAAGGCATATTTGTTGGCAGTAAAAAAATATTTGTTGGCAGTAAAAAATTGTTTAAGGATTTTTATTTGGTTTTCAAAAAATGGAAGTCTTGGATTTTTTTCTATTACTTGATTATAAAGCATAGTATTGGGGATATATAAATCAAAACTACTCTAGGTTATACTAAACCAGCAATATTTAGTTTATAGTTTAACGAGATTTGTGAGTAAACAATTTCAATTCTATATCTACTGAGAAATTTATTTGCAAGATGATAATAGATTATCATTATTTTGAATTTAGGTGAAATTTTTAAAATACAGTGATTAGCATAAATATTAAATAATTTAGACGAAAAACAAAATGGAAATGTAAAGGGAAAAATCATCTATCTAAACTGAATTCAAGGATTTTCGTCGGTAAAAATGGGAAAATATGTTACAGAGACAAGTGAAACAAAAATCCTTAGATTTTAACATCTATCTAAATTTGTGTGACGATTGTAACAATAAATAACTTACTTTTTCTCTCAAACTAGAATGAGACTTGTGCGTACCCATGAGTTATTTTTTATTTTTTTAATTTGTATTTAAAAAATCAATATAATTATTATTATATTACATAAATAATTTATTTATGAAATTATATTTAGGTATTATAATTATATATTGTCATAAATATAATCTATAATTATTNCCCATGAAGAGCTTGTTGAACAGCAGTTGTGGCTGGGTTTCTTTTTCTCCGGTTATTCTCATAAGTGTCTTGAATCTTTTCATCATATATAATATACCGGTGGAGAAGTTTGTTTCTCAAATATCTTCCACAATACTTATTCATAAGAAGGCCACGGTGCCTCTGTTGCAGCCACAACCCCGGAGCATCTAAATGCTTCGTCAATAATCTTTCAGCCATCACCAAATCCTTAAGAAAACCAGAAATAATAATTTCAAAATTATACATTATCCAATCAATGATCAGTAATTGTTAGATTGTAAATAGAAATTGTGATAAAATATGGTATATCCCGTTAATGAAATTAAACTAGTCTTTCCACAACTTCTGTCAAATCATCATCTGGATAGCAGACAGAATAGTAGTAGTACCTGTATCTTTTGGCCAATGTATTCTAATCTCTCGTAGCAAAATCGAGGATGCTCAAACTTGTACTTCGATGGATGCATGTAGCATAGCTGCAATTAGATAAGACAATCATCATCAGAACTTATAACAAAAGCCAGGGAACTTTCAAACTTCTGACCACCAACTTTGCATTTTGCACACCAGAGTCTAAGAACCAAATTGACTGAATAACTAAATACATCGACAATTTCCTATCTCCACTATTAATGTGCGTAGTGTTAGGGGGGTCCTAAGGAAACACATTGTTGCTATGAAGTGAGCAATGCAGTGATGAGAATACGGTAAAGTAAAGCAATACATAAAGCAGGTAAAAAAATGGTCTAGAGCAAGAATAATTAACTATCAGGAGTGTAGCCAGTCAAAATATTTCAGCTTCTTCTAACTTTACCTTCCTAATTTCCACATAAAAAACTAGAAACTATCAATAAATATTCAAGGTAAGACTTGTGCACAGACACATGCAAGCCCTAAAGCCCTACCCTTGAAAGTCAAGCCAGATATGTGCTTTTATATGTTGATACAACAAAAAGAAAAAAGGAATGAGAAAACAGAAGACCTACCTGCAAGCCAAGTCCAAGCTCTATGTTCCTGGCTTCAGTAATTTCTGGGATTCTGTCTGTTACTTCTAATGGATATCCAAGTACTTTCATAACATGGGGTCTGGTATCATAATCCCATATATTGCCCCTAAAACGATGCATCCCAGGGGGAACACAAGCTCTAAATAGCCTTGGATGTTCAAACAGAGCATCTGCAGGAGGCTGAATGAAGAACAGTCAACATCATTTCATCATTTAAAAATAAAGTATTCTATTGTAGATGAATTTCTAATGGAAATAGATGAATTAGGTTTTTGAGTATGACATATAGATCAGTGTGCACTAACTTTTCTAAGAAAAATAAATAAATACTTAGCAGAAGATATGAGCTGCTTGCCTTATATGCAACGATGTCTTGCCAGCTTAGCTTGCTTTCAAACTCAGCAGATACATAATCCACATCTGCAAGTTGTCTCCGCAATTTGGGCTGGCAGTCCTCAGCATCTGGATCCATTCCAAAGACTTCAAAAAGAACACGATACACTTCTGGCATACCAAAACAAAGATAGATAGCCCCAAACAAAGCCCAAAATACTGACCTGTCATAGAATAACAAATGTTAAAATGCAATGAACAATCCACTCCAGAAATAGGACAGATACCAACTTCATTGATTAAAATGGTTCTGTCATACATGAAAAACCGTAAAAATTAAATCATCCAGAAAGGTAAGGATCTATTTGATTCCTTTCCAACTTTTATTGTTTAAAAAATTGTTTTTTAAGTTCCAGATGGCACCTAAGTGTACCAGGATTTACTTCACTCCAGATTTGAGTCAGTCATTCTATTTGAAGCCAATACAACATCAATTTTTCACATTCAAATTCTCCATTCTTCAGCATCCCAAGTACATATACGATAGCACACATTGGATTTTTAAACATCACTCAAGAATATCATGAGAAGAAAACAGAGAGCTGTATTAACCAAGTAAAAGCAGATAACATTATAACCATAAAATCTGAGAAGAAACACGCATCTCAAACGTTAGCATAATAAAGCAATTCAGTTTGACCAGCCACATGAAAATGCTCATAGACCAACCATTCGGTCATTTTCAATTTTTATCTCATTGCCAAATTTGGACATATAGTAAGTAAACATAATTCTACATGCGGGATGGAACTTAGATGAAATTTCAAAATTCCAGATTGGGAGTGACTGTTTAGCATTGAGAAAATATATATGTTGTGACTTCTTAAATAGTTTTTACATTAAGATCCAACCGCAAATCATGTTATACTAAGTTCGTTGACTTAATAACTATCTTAACAGATCATACAAGCCACAGTGTCTAATACCTATCTTAACAGATTAAAATTGGAGGTGCATACAGATTTAAACTCTTCAGTATTTACTATTACTAGCACCATTGCACTACCATAATTTGAAAGAAAACCCGAACTTAATGAGAACCAGGTTATCCAGTGAGTCAAAACCATATCACAAGAGACTAACAGTTATGACTTACTTCACAGGACCGTCCCTTTCCCTCTTCCTTATCTTATCCATGTCATCATACGTAAATATCAAATTCTGCAAGCTAGCGGCTTTAATCCACTGATCCAAGTTTCTCTTCCCTATCAACCCAAACACTCTCTCCCTCATTGGACCCGGCGACTCCCTCGGATACCTCTGCAAGAAAAACTCAGCCAGCGCCAACTCAAGCACGTACTGTCCCAGAAAAGACAACCTCGAATGCCCCGACCGCACGTGCCGCGCCTTCGTTCTCTCACATGAAGGGTGCTGAAACGCCAAGTACAGCAACGTGTCGAACTGTTTCGCGGGGTTATCGTCCCCGAGCGTTTCCGAGGGCTCGAGAGTGTACCCCAGAGCCTGCTTCGCTTCGAGCAAGTACTCGTCAATCCACAACCTATCTGCATTGTTGAGCCGCGACGAGGGCAAGCACGAACTCAACAAAGGGAACGACTTGAGAGAGAGTTGCGGGCTGTTGAGAAACCTTTCAGCTAATTTGTTATCGTCTATTGGAGGCCTTAGAATGAACCTTCTTGGGGGTCCCTTCTTTGTGGAAGTTGCTTTCTTTCGTGCCGCGAGCTCCTTGAGAAGTCGCTGGGGACTGCTCTCGGGGGAGCCCTGTTGTGGCTCTACGGCCACCGCCAGAATTCGGAAAGGGGAGTTTCGGGATTTGGAGTTTCTGATGAAAAGGTGAATCGGGAATGGAGAGAGGGAGGAGGAGAAAGAGTAATTGCATGGTTTTGGGGAGAGTAAAAAAGAAGAAGAAAGTTCCATTATCGGAGAGTGACTGTGGTGGGAAATGTTGTTTGGAAAAGGTGGGTTGCGAACATTAAGGTGGTTAATTTCTGGGTTTGTGTACAACCTTTGGCACCATAGATGAGAGGGTTTAGGGGTTGGGATGGAGTCTTACAGTGTTGGATAAGGTGAAGCAGCAGCGTCGCGTCCCACACCCTTCGTTTAGCCGGATGCTTTCTTGGATATCTCAGATTTCAATTTTGTTTAGATAGCAAAACGCTGCCGTATAGTATAGATGCATGGGCTTTTAATTTCCAAACGACACGTCGTTTATTATCAGAGTTGTGCATCAATGAAATTTTGATAAGGTGATTTTGTAAATTTAAGACAGACCTACAAAAGATAGATAATCACATTAATTTTATCTGTTTACGTACTATGTAACTAAATAATACAATTAAAAAACGTGCTGTAAGATTTAAAACTATTTTATATATAATAAATAATCTCAATATAAATATAATACTATAACATATTTTTGCTAACTTATTTTTGTTATTAATATATAACGATATAAACCTATACTTTAGAATAATTGGTAGGATATTTTTTTTTCTGAGATTACACTACAATTAAAATAAATTTAAACCTAATTTTAACTCATATTTATTATACGTTGGGAGTCCAATTTCTTAAACTTAAACTCGCAAAAATATCCACACAAACTAAACTTTTATCTGTTTCTAATATTTTGTATTTTGAATTCCAAAGGATTATTTGGTGCAAGAACGAATTACATTATTAATTTTCCATTGCCAGTGGGCGAATAAATCACTTAGTACAAAAGTGAGTTTTAATATTTTTTTCATTTGATGTAAATAATGTTAGATGGTCACTTACACAAACTTAAAATCTCTATAGTGTAAAATTTTAAATATTTTAGAAGGCATATTTGTTGGCAGTAAAAAAATATTTGTTGGCAGTAAAAAATTGTTTAAGGATTTTTATTTGGTTTTCAAAAAATGGAAGTCTTGGATTTTTTTCTATTACTTGATTATAAAGCATAGTATTGGGGATATATAAATCAAAACTACTCTAGGTTATACTAAACCAGCAATATTTAGTTTATAGTTTAACGAGATTTGTGAGTAAACAATTTCAATTCTATATCTACTGAGAAATTTATTTGCAAGATGATAATAGATTATCATTATTTTGAATTTAGGTGAAATTTTTAAAATACAGTGATTAGCATAAATATTAAATAATTTAGACGAAAAACAAAATGGAAATGTAAAGGGAAAAATCATCTATCTAAACTGAATTCAAGGATTTTCGTCGGTAAAAATGGGAAAATATGTTACAGAGACAAGTGAAACAAAAATCCTTAGATTTTAACATCTATCTAAATTTGTGTGACGATTGTAACAATAAATAACTTACTTTTTC